TAAATATGTATGTTTGCTAGACTTGGAGGCGACTTAGTAATTCATAAATATGTATGAATTGATGATTTAGTTTTAGTAATTATTTGATAGAGTTGGAGGCGGATGGAGATGGGAGAACCGAAGAACTACGTACTCTAGGAATTATTGAATTAAGAATTGGCGAAAGATTATTGAATTATTAGATTTCTCCCCTTCTGCGTACTCTTAGATAGTTAGATCTACACATTGCCTAAGAATTAAGATATTATATATATGATTTTTTTAAAAATATATATATTATATATATAATTTATTTATTTATTTTTTAAATATGGCTTGGCCCGCGGGCCGGCCCGCAACCCGGGCGGGTTTGCCCGCGCGGGCTCTGGCACTCTGCGGACCATGCCCGTTAGGCCCGCATTTTCGCGAGCCTAATTTCTTGCGGCCCTAACCCGCCCCATTGCGGGGCCGGTGCGGGCTAACCCGCGTGCTTCGGCCCACTTTGACACCCCTACTCGCCGGGTTAGCCCGTCTCGTCCAGCAAAAAGGGCGAGGCGGGCTTTGATATTTTAGACCTGCATTTTGGCGGGCTTTTTTGCCCGCCCCGCCTAACTCGCAAAAATGGCAAAGTATGAAATAAGACAAAAAAAAAAAATCTGAATATTTAATAAGACCAATTGGCATCTCTACATATGATAGAGATATGCTCAAATTACTTAAATGTGTCAATGTTATCCGAAAGCTAAGGATTTGGATAATTTGATTGCATTAAACATGTGGGCCTCCACATCGACTCCTTAAATGGTGAAATAATTCTTGAGCGACGATATATATCAATCATTATTGTGTGGATCATAGTTCACATAGTTGTATGGACCACGAATAAAAAGTACATTATTTAATTTGAAAGTATATAGTTTGAGTAGTGAAAGTACATTATTTTGCATACTATCAAATAATGTACATTTAGTACACAAATAATGTACTTTTAATATATTAAAAATGTACCTTGTATTCAGAGAAAATACATTATTTTGAGTATTGAAAGTACATTATTTTGTATAATGTACATTCAATACACAAATAATGTACTTTTAATAATTAATATATTAAAAATTGTTAAGAAATCATAGAAATTGGAAGAACAAAGAGAAGGAATATAATACACGAATAATGCATAGGGAAGGAGGATCATCTTATTCATTTATCTGTAACATTAAAAGTACATTATTTTGTATAATGTACATTCAATACACAAATAATGTACTTTTAATAATTAATATATTAAAAATTGTTAAGAAATCATAGAAATTGGAAGAACAAAGAGCAGGAATATAATACACGGATAATGCATAGGGAAGGAGGATCATCTTATTCATTCATCTGTAACATTACATATTACAACAATACATACATACATATATATATATATATATATAATATTAGTATTTTTTATGCGCGATGCGCAAAAAATAGGTGCCCAATATTAATACATTATATTAAAATTTTAAATTTATTTAGATTTTAGATATTTAAATTATTCTAGATAATAATAATAATAATAATAATGTAAATCATTTTTATAAATTTGATATTTATATTTATGAAATAATTAACATATAACTCAAATATTTAATGTGTATATATTATTATTAATGAAGAAGATAAGAAAATATATGGTGGATGCATGTGCATGGTAAGAATAGTGGAAAAGATAACGAAAGTTATAACGGTAGGGGTATGTTTGTCCAAAATATTTTAATGTACAACCTTTATAGCATAATGTACAAACAAACTTAACGAAAAAAAACGGACATAAATCATGGGTATAACTTTCATTCACACTTATTATGTTTTTAGATACATTTGTAACGGAAGGTAATAATGATAGATATAAATGCGACCGTTACATCAGTTACATAACCAACTCACAACAATTGCTTCTTTCTTCATCTTCCTCGTCCGTCTGTCCGAGTATTTTGAGAGTCAGGTTCATCATGAGTAGTTCTGTGTTAACCCATCGAGAGCATCGCATAAATGCTTTTAAGGCAGTGTTTTAATTAACACGACACAGAAATTCTTTCCTTTTCCTTTCATATTTTTTTTGTTTTTGTTTTTCAGCCTACATCAAATACATACGTTACTTCAAATACAGTAAGTACGACATTATTTTGCTCCAGTTTAAAGTGTGGGGATGCTTGGCAAAGGTAGGACTTCCGTCCTTTAAAAGGCCCATCATAGGGTCTAAAACCGTAGATACAATATTTGTTGGGTATGCTGAAAATAGTGTTTCTTATAGATTTATGTACTTAGAAAACATTCAATATGTGAAGCTAGATATGTTATATTCTTTGAACACATATTTCTTTTAAAGAGCACTGGTAATTCTCAAAGAAATGAGCATGCTTTACTTCCTAGGTCTAGTATTGCAAATGATTCAGATGAATCTAGAATAAGCAAAAGACCTAGAATTGAGAAAAGCTTTGGTTCTGATTTCATAACATTTGTAACCAAATTGAAAGACATAAATGAATTATGTTATCGATTCATATGTCAATTGGTATTAGAAAAGGAGCAAAAAAAAACTTTTGAAGATGTTGTTCAGTCGATTCCACACTATGGAAAGAAGCAATAAAAAGTGAACTGGACTCTATACAGTCCAATCATACATGGGAATTGGTAGATCTACCCAAAGGGTGTAAACCAATCGGCTGTAAATGGATCTTCAATAGGAAATTAAGACCAGATGGGTCTATTGAAAAATTCAAAGCCAGACTAGTAGCCAAAGGCTACACATAGAGGTTTAGTGAAGATTACTTTTATACATATTCACCAGTAACAAAAATTGCAACCATCCGTGTTATGTTTGTTCTAGCATTTTCACACATGTTGATAGTCCACCAAATGGACGTAAAAACATCATTCCTCAATGGTGATCTAGAGGAAGAAATATACATGGAACAACCTCCTGGATGTGTTGATCTTGGTCAAGAAGGAAAGGTGTGTAGACTCAAAAAAAATCTCTGTATGGCTTAAAACAAGCTCCTAAGTAGTGGTATGAAAAATTTCATAAAACCTTAATAGACATAGGTTACACTACTAACCGGTCAGATGCCTGCTTGTATACTAAAGAGATTGAGTTTAAAATTATAATCATATGTATCTATGTAGATGATATGCTAATTTTCAGTTCAAACATTGATGTTATTAATGAGACAAAAAGAACTCTTTGTGCCAAGTTTGATATGAAGGATCTGGGTGAAGCCGATATTATACTTGGTGTAAAGGCTACCAAAATCGATAAAGTGTTATCATCTATCGCAAGCCATTATACAGAGAAACTTTTAAAGAGGTTCAATAGTTATGATATAACCCCAGCTAAAACCCCTTATGATCCAAGTATCAAACTATCAAAGAATTAGGAGACAAGTGTGTCCCATGAAGAGTATGCAAAAATAATTGGGAGTCTTATGTTTCTAATGAACTATACTAGACCTGATATTTCTTTTGCAGTGAATAAACTCAATCGCTATACTCACAACCCAAGTGGTACGCAATGGAATGCACTGAAACGAGTACTTCGGTATCTTAGAGGTACCATGGACTGGGACTTAACTATACAGGGTTCCCAGCAGTATTGGAGGGGTACTATGATGCAAACTGGGTCAATGACAGTGAAGATGTCAGTTCGACTAGTGGATATGTGTTCACTATGTGCGGAGCTACTATATTGTGGAAATCAGCCAAACAATCTTGCATTGCTAGATCAACTATGGAAGCAGAGTTCATAGCTCTTGATCTGGCAAGTCAAGAAGCTGAGTGGCTAAGAAGCCTATTGGCATACGTGTCATTGTGGGGGCGTCCAAGGTGGTGTGCAAGACTTTTCAACCAAAGTTAGTCTTGACTACGTTTGATCAATTCTTCAATGATATTAAAGAAGCGTTAAATTCATCTAATGAATTCAGCTTCAAATTTGTGAAACAGTTTGCGATTCAAGTTCTTTGTAGCATTGCTAGGGAAGTTATTTCTACAAATACATCAACGGGTGCACTAAAACTACCACATCATGTACTAATATTAACTTAGGTTCCAAAAGTGAAGGTGGTTAATATTGGCAAACCAATCTTATTAATCTATTATTATATTATACCCCATAAAAAGATTAAAGGTGTTAAGTTGAAGGTAAAACACAATACCACTAAATTATAACTTTTCCAAAAGGCTGAACTCCAACCCTAAGGGCATTTGGGAGGATGTAAATCATGGTAACTCAACTGAACATGGTTGGTGCTCACTGCGCACAAGGAATCCCCCTCACTTTGAGAGGTTGCTCCCTGGTCATTCTTTCAAAGTTTCACCTCTATGACCAGTTGAGCTGCCTAAGTGGGTGTAATTGTGAATTTCACATTTTCACATGTGATCATCTAACAAGCCCATCAAAAGTGAAACACGCTAATTAGTGGTAATCATTCCAATTCTACCATATTACTTAACATGCAAAATAGTTTTATCAAAATGCATACTAAGTATTTGATTCTCATTTCGATTCTGATTTCCATGTGTGAACCAAACACACACTAAAATTATTAGGAATGAAAATAAAGAAGTGATATAAAGACTAAAATATCCTTGTGTAATAATAATAATAATAATAATAATAATAATAATAATAATAATAATAATAATAATAATAATAATAATAATCAAGGGCAAAATTATCTTTTTCTTCTTTTTTTCCTGTCCTTACCACGATTGAATTCCAATTCAAGAGAGGGGAGGGGAGGGGATATGAATTCTAACTCATTGAATTGAGGGATTAAATTACAATTTCTTTCAATCAAACAATGTCATTTTGCAATTTATGAAATTACATTGATAAAGAATTTCAATTCATGCCAACTAAACATCCCATTATGTAATTTTAAAAAGAAATTGGGGTCGAAATGTGTATAGCAGAAAGTTGAGGGTCAAAGTAGTCCCACCACTAATTGGTTAGAATTGTGTGGAAGATGGTCCATGGAAGCAGAGGTGAAAGCTCACCTCCTTTTCAATCTCCGTTTCGCTAGACTCCGTGTTTTCCTGGCTCACGCAACGATCAACCAAAATCCTAAATCTCTCGTAAAAGTGTAAAACCCTTTAATAGAAACCCTAGCCCTTCGATCTAATTCTCAAGAACACACTACCCAACACATATACTTTACGCCAAATTATAATCAACATACATACTACGACAAAAGCTTCGAGCTTGCTTTCTACTGAATTTCAAATTCGGGTCTTTGGAGAAAAAATTTGGGTGCAATGTCGGTCAATCGGAGAAGAAGCAATGGAGGAGGGGAGAATCGGTTTTATTGCCCGCCGGCGATGAGGCGGCAGCAGCAGCAAATGCAAGCCGCTGCCAAGTCCAAATCCGAGAAAAGAACGGCGGAGTCTGACGATGGAGCATCGTCAACATCGACCGCCACCACCACTACCACCACGCCTTCCACAACGGCGTCGTTTTCCACGAATTTGGATCGGTTCCTGGAGTATACAACTCCTAAAGTTCCAGCTCAGGTTCTCTCTAAGGTATTAAAGAGAAATGTTTTAACTACAAGGAACTTGGTTTTCTTTTTTTCTTAGTGATATTTTAAGTGGTGTATATTACTGTAATTAACTTCAACCATTATTCTAAATTTTATTGATTTCAATGTATTTTTCTAGCAGTTTGAGTATTTAGCTGTTAATGCTTTCAGTAGTGATCTATATTAAGCATAGAGAGCATAGATTTTGGGACTCTCCCTGTGTTGATAGCTATCCAGTTTATACTGTACTATTTTGTTAAGATTACTTTTCCACATGTATCTTGTCAAAAATGTTAAATTTCAAGTTTTTAAATTCTTCCATAGATGAAATCAACATGGAACATTTGGAAATGTGCAGACAAGCATGAAATCATTGAGAAATCATGGTGGTGATTTAGGTCCCTACTTCATTTTGGATGATCTTTGGGAATCATTCAAGGAGTGGAGTGCATATGGAGCCGGAGTTCCTCTTGTTTTGAATGATAGTGATTCTGTAGTTCAGTATTATGTGCCGTACTTGTCTGGGATTCAACTGTATATAGACCCAGCCAGGCATATTGTGGGTCCACGGTAAGCTATATATGCTGTTCATATATGCTGCTTACTACTTGAATGAAATTTTTTTCTTTAAGCCCTTAAAATTATTCCTGTATTGGCTTCTATGATCTGTATGTGTGGTAGGGTGTTTCATCTTTAATCAGTTAAGACAAAACTAGTTTACATGCTTGATTGGTTGTGGAGAATTGTTCTACCACTGCTTTATATGCAAATAAATAGAATTTCTCAGGTTTGTAAGCAACTTAACTGAAGTATGAGGAAGGTAGTATTTTGATGGTTGTCCTTTTTGCTAGCATTTATTTGTCACGTGTATCCTTATCGAACAGGCTGTAATTTAGTATTAGAGCTTACAGTTTTAACTTGTAATTTTACTTTTTAAGGGCGTCAATTTTCAGATAGTGTGTCATCATGTCTGCATTATAATTGGGATGTTATCCTGGATTTGAACTTTAGATTTTTATATGCACCAATTACATCCTTATTCCTTTTGGCTGATTTGGTTACAGGAGACCAGGTGAGGAAAGTGATGGCGACTCTTACAGGGAGACAAGTAGCGATGATGGTAGTGAATACGTGGCAGGTAGAGGAGCCAACAGTATTAAGGGAAAGCGGAATCAGCAGAATCTTATGAATGCAACTGCAAATGGATTTAATAGACTGTCATTAAGAAATGATGGGTTCATGGAATCATTGGCTGATGAGAATGAGACAAGTAATCCACCTGGTCTACTTGTATTTGAGTTCTTGGAACAAAACCCACCACAGAATCGTCAACCTTTGACTGACAAGGCAAGTATTCTTAGCTGTAGGGGATTAATGAATCTTTATTTGAGCATGTGAAAGAGTTAACACGTTTTTCTGTGTATAACAGATCTCAAGTCTTGCATCTCAATTTCCTGACCTGAAGACATATAGGAGTTGTGACTTGGCACCCGCAAGTTGGATTTCTGTGTCTTGGTAACTACTTTCCCCCTCAGATTTGATAGATATACAGAGTACATTGTAGAAATTTCAAACTGAAAACAATTTCTTGTTCTGATTTTTAAGGTACCCAATATACCGGATACCTATAGGTCCAACTTTGCAGAGTCTGGATGCTTGCTTCTTGACATTTCACTCCCTTTCAACGCAAGCTGAGAGTAGTAAGTTTTTCACCTCATAATTTGTTCCCGAACCTTAAATAAAGGAGGCTAGGTGGTTGTTGCTCATACACGATTCTATTTACCCAGGTACGAGAAACGACTTGCTGCATAATCATGGATCAAGTAGTACGAGGGGAATGCATGATAATGGCATGCCCATGAAGCTCTCGCTCCCAAGTTTTGGCCTGGCTTCTTACAAGTTCAAAGTTTCGTTCTGGTTTCCCAGTGAAACATATGAATCTCAAAGGGTCAACTCTCTTACACGAGAAGCTGACAGGTGGCTCCGACTGTTGCAAGTAAACCATCCTGATTACAGGTTCTTTCTTTCACGCAACACATACTTTAGGTGAATGTTCAGACATAATCAACACTCTCTAAGCTCCTCCACATTGACTCAAGCCATACTTGAATATGGTTGTCATAATGGCTTGCGCTTCTTAGCTCGGTCAAGAATGACAATGCAGTATTTTGACAGTCCATATTTGTTTTTGTCAACAACAAAAAAAAAAACGCGGGAATTATAACTCTCACCTATGGTGGTATCATAGGATAATTATGTTTCATTGTGATTATTGTCATGTTGGCTTTTTGTTTGTAACTTTAAGTTGATCAACTAATAGGGTTGATATCTTCTGATAATGAGGGAGGAGCTGGCCGTATTTGTAAACTTCTGTTTGACTTGTATTATTATTATCATTATTATTATAAAACAGCCTCTAGAATTATGTCCTACTTGTGTATTTAGTTCAGTTCTTTGGCTAACAATTTGCATCAGATTGTCATTTGTTTGGTGGAATTTTTTTATTAACACCCATTGCTTTAAATTTCTGTTAAAATGTAATACCATTGCATTGATTTTCTGCCAACACATTAAATTAAATAAAGCAGCGTCTTTAAGCCTTACCAATCACTCTCTTTAATCTCACTATTTTCTTAATGATGAAAGATCGGTCAAGTTCAGTTGCTGCTCAATTCGAGACATGACACTATAACTTACCATAAATAGATGTAATTAAATGGTTAATATTCACCTACTTATCGAAGTAGTCTTCCAGATCAAACCAGCAACTTCTTAAATTTTATTACTTAGATTGCAGACAGAGAGGCCTTGACCACATTCCACATTCATTATAAACATACTAATAATAATAATAATAATAATAATAATAATAATAATAATAATAACAATAATAATAGCTCCACATACAACATAGAGCCAAAACTACTAGCTATTACAAAGCTTCTTCATCCTCATAGCTCTCTCCCCAACATCACTAGTAGTCTAGTAGAGTAAAAAACAGAAGCAAATTTTGCTTTTGCTTAGAAGTTGTCATGGAGAAAAGTAGAAAGCACAAGCGATTGAACGAAGTCACATTTCCTCGCCTTCTCTTCTTGGTCCTTCTCAGATATTGGAGATGGACGGGTATTTCTGTTCACATAAAACCACAACTCGGCAATCAGTGATGCACTCGTATCGAATGTTCTCATCACCACATAAGTCGGCTACTAATTTGTTGGGTATCAAGAAATATGATGATCGAGCTGACATAAATTTTACCAATAATAATAAGGAAATACCTTTCGGGAAAGTCATCAACAGAGCTTTCCTTCATTGAGCAGTCTTCAGCAGGAGATTGAAGAGCTGCAGGAGGTTCATCAACTAGGGGCGGATGGTACATAAAAGATGATAACAAAGGATCAGCTTCTGTAGTCAAAGAACCCAAGTATGAGGATCCCCCGATGAAAGATTGCAGGTTTCCTTCCCGTAGCTCCCTCCTTAAAAGAGCAAGTGTTGAATTAGAACCCCTCCGATATCTCCTTTTCCGCTGCACGTGATCTCAGTCAAGGGAAATTTTGAATTTATATGCGTGTATTCCAGAAATTGAATCAGGATGAAAAACAATAAAGAGAAGAAGAAAGGTGAAGAAGAACATAAGAGTACTGCCTACACATCGGAAAAATCATCATTATAACACAAAAGAAGCAAGAATATGTAAACAAAAAAAAATAAAAATAAAAATTTGAGGACCAGGAATGTTCACATCATAAAGGATATTTTTAAAAGACTTCCATGTTGCATAGTAATATGGCCAACCAAATCCATCCCCACCCTTGTTCCACAAACCGGGCACACCTGAATATTCAACATAATAACATTATGAAAGGATTGAGATATGCCAGTCAATATATAAGAAGTCTAACAGTGACGTGTTGAATACACATAATTCATTTCTTTTGCTATCGGGAGAAGGCAATCAAACCCAAGCAAAATGCTTCATAAGGAGATTAGCCTACTACTAGGCTAAACCCTAAACCCTAAACCCCAATACCCACAATTTGTTATGGTTGTAGTGATCACTTCCCAGATATGCAGAACATGGAAAATTAGCTCCAAGAATTTCACTTACTGAGATTTAAATTCTTGCTTATGGATCAGAGCTCAATTTTGCTTTGTTTCTATTCAATTTGGTAAATAAAGAGCCTCAAGGAGTTTACATTACTTCCTTCTAACTTGTAAGCAAAGAACAAGAATAACAATTGTAGAACTAAACATCTCATTTCAAGGCCTTTCTTGACCAAAATGGCAAAATGTATAGCCAGTTAACTATAAAAATATGTAGAAGAAATCCTATATGCCTTGGGCAAATGGTAGTGAGAAAGAGAACCCTTCTTCATAAGGTTCAGAAATTCCTTAAATGGAACAATATCCAGTCAACACTTTTAAGAAGCCCCAAATTTTTATGTATAATATCTAAATGAAAATGTACAATTAAATTAACATATAGAGATGCAAAGTGTACCCCATTCTTTGCTTCAATAGTGTGCTCTTCATCTATGTGACAGCAGAGGCCAACAACATCATAATCCTCAGCACAGAACGGGCACATGAACTCTGGCCTAGTCTCCTCATCGCCTTCATACTCATCTCCTATGTTATATATATCTATGAAAAAAAATATTTAAAAAAAAGGCCCTTAGTTTTCCAGTTACAAACTCTAAAAATCATTTTCTGAAATAAACTCTTAACACATTTCTAACAATTCACTCACCAAATCTAGAAATATTGCAAAATGAGAAAGAGAAATCAAAATTTTCAAACTTTTTTCACTTTCGTGGAAAACAAACAGATTAGCATTTGACTTCAGCTCAAATATCCTTTTAGCTTTCGCTTCATAAGTAACCCCCACCCACCCCCACACACAATAAAGATGATGAAAACAGGAAAACAACAATTAAAACACAAAAGCAACACAGTTTCCATTACAAGGTTCTTCATTTCTTGTACAGAAATCAGATTTTACTCAACTTCCTCACATACTCACTCCCTCTGTTTATCTACGTAGCTGAAAACAACGAATATACATGAAAAATCCTAATTTTCACTTTCTCTCAATTCCGCGCAAACAAAATCCCGGGAAATCGAATCAAATGCTTAATCAAACACAAAAATACCTGATCGAGATTGGTGACGCCGAGAAGAATTCGAGAAACGAATCCATGAATCAGAATCCATATTTCTTTTATCTCAAAAAAAAAACAGGTCCTTAGAAATTTCGAGAATTTCGTACGGTGAGATTCGTCAACAGCCGAGTCTTCTACGTAATTATAAACAGAGTTTATCAGATGTGCACACAGATTTGGAGAATTTTTGCCCTAGCGAGGAGGAGAAGGAGAAGAAAAAAGGCAGCGAAGAAAGTACGTGGAAATGAGGATAGAGAGATAGAGAGAGATAGAGAGAGAGAGAGAGAGAGAGAGTAGAGGAAGAACTCCACCAAACTTGAGAGTAGGGGCGTTCGGTCCCTATATATGATTTGTATGGCTTACCTGGACATGGAGTTTAGTTTTATTTCGGAAATGCCATTTTCTAATACCGACTAACCGACTTGATTACCATATTTTTGGTATCCATGTTTCTTAGTTTGGGACAACACAATCAAGTATTTACACCAAGTTTGGTTTGCGGGATAGGGCTTCATTGGAATGATATTTTCGAGAGTAGGTCTATTTTATTGGTTAATACTTTTTATTTTTGTAAATATTATTTCTGAAAATGAATTATTCTTCTTATAATGGGAATAACTATTTTAGCGCTTCCTAGTATTAAGATATTTTTGAGTTCTTAGAATAATTTAAATTTCTTATTTCAAACTTTATTCTCTATTAAACTTAAAACTTGTTTAGGCTTTTTTTTTTCTTACTATCACAACACTCATTTATCACATGTATGATACTTGCATCTATTTTAAGTTCAAACACTTCAACCTTCACAATGTATTTTTTTAAATTTATATTTTTTTTGAAAAAAGGCTGGCAAATATTAATGAATAAAAGCAACAATAGAGTCAAGAGGGACAGAGTCCCAGTACATCGAGCCAGCTTGTGCAAAAGCTGCTGAAGCAAGAGTATGAGTATGTAAATTTAAAGTTCTAGCTACTAAGCTAACAACGCAATAAGATCGAAAAAGTTGACATAGTCATCCTACAGTGGTCAATAGGGATCCCAACATAGGATAAAACAGATGAACTGACGTAAACTATTACGTAACTTAGAGCAATCAGTAAGAAGATCCACGGATAGAACGTCTTTGTCCTTAAGCCATGAAAGAACCTCCTTGCACGCTAAGGTTTTTGCCATAAGTGGAGAGAAAAATAGTCTACAAGTAGCTCATTGCATGCTGCTAAGAAGACCCCGTCGTGATTGAGCAAAACCGCCCCAAAGGCTACCTTGCCGGATGCCGGCATAAAACCTGCGTCAAAGTAACATTTCGGTCAAAGGGTTGGTGCGACTGTTGTAGCGGCTGTTGATGGAGACGGTGGAAGTCGACGCCTGCCTCCATAATGTCTTGGGCAACGACAGCTTTGCATCCTAGACTGCAAGGTTCCTCGCGCGCCAAATGTAATACAACACTGCTACAATAATTTCAACATCTGGTTTAGTCATGGAAAGCAACACACTTCGTAGCCACATATGAAAAGAATCACCCACAATATTGGTGAATGGAATAGAAGACTCATGCCAAACGCGCCTAGAGTAGTCACACAAAATCAAAGCATGCAACACATTTTCATGAGTAAGGCCACACTTAGGATATGCAGGATCAACATCTACTCTCTTTAAGATCAAGTTTGTAATAATGAGAAAAACATCATTAATAGCTCTCCATACAAATGTCTTCCACTTCGGGGTGACTTGTAGTTTCCACAAGGTGATCCATTTATCACAATTCCCAAGGGTATCTTCATAAATACCAATAAGGTGTTTGTATCCACTTTTCACCGTATAGATACCTTTTGGGTCATTGTACCAATATCAAGAATCACTATACTCCGGGCTGACTTGGATCCTGGCTATACGAGCCACATTTTCAAAGTAAAAAATATTAGCCAGAATATGGGAGTCTCAGGTACCAATTTCCTGGTTAACTAATATGGAGACCAACGAACTATATATATAATTAGGAAAAATTGCATTTTTCGTCCCTAAGATATATGGTAATTCTAGAATATGTCCCTAATTGTTAGTTGTGCTCATTTTTCGTCCCCAAGCTATAATTGACGTTGCAAATTTCGTCACTTTACAAACAAAATATCATGGGCGAAATTTGCAATGTTAGTATAGCTTAGGGATGAAAAAAGTGAGCACGACCTGTTATTAAAATGCCAAAATTTACAACTTCAATTATAGTTTAGGGACAAAAAGTGAGCATGACCAACAAATAGGGACGGATTCTATAATCACACTATAACTTATGGACGAAAAGTATAATTTTTATTTTTTTCTATTTTATCTTATTTTATGGTAATGTATATAGTGTTTAATTTTTTTTATGAGTTCTCTATTTATTAGACTAGTAATTCACCCGCGCGGTGCATGGAAAAAAATTATGTTATTATAAATATAAATAAAAAATAGAAAAACTAAAATATTTTAAATTATTTAATATAATAATATTTTTGAGCTTCCATTGGTCAAGTATTTATTATTTGTATAGAATACAAATTACAATTAAAATAAAATTAAAATTATAATTATAATTATAATTTTGTATGGTTAATATAATCTCTAATTATGTGCATATTCAAATAAACTTATAGAGATAATTTACATAATTACATTGATTTATTCTTAATTGTATTTCATCTATATTATAATTTTCACAATACAAATAATAACTAAGATAATTACATTTGGAAAGCAAATTTCAAATTTTGTATGTGTAAATTTAAACTCTAATTGAACACATTTTTTATATGATTATATAATATATAGATATTTTATTTTTCAAAAGTATATTTTTTATATGATTATATAATATATAGCTATTTTATTTTTTAAATGTTGTGTTTTTTTTTTATTTTTATTTTTTTATAATAAAGGATGTTGTGGCATTAATTGTAACATTAATTATTTCCCAAACCATATAGCTTTATTATATAAAGGATTACTATGTTATATATATATATATATATATATATATATATATATATATATGCTTCGAATCCGGTGCACCCCCTCTAATAGATGAGACCATGAGGTCTCCTAATATCCATTGATTCAATTTCCATCAATGGTTGAGATTATAAGAGATTAGGGTAGTAATTAAGGACATTTTCCAATGTAAAGGATATATTAGTAATTGTAATTCTAATTTATTTATGGACATAATATTATTGGAATCTATAGCATTAAATTAGGGAGTTTATGGATGGAAATTAATACTTTGAATTACTACAAAGGCTGATGAAGTGAACTCTTGCCTTGAACAAGGCTTGAGGAGAAAACGAACGGGTAAGTGCATTTATGTGCCATTGTCTGTGCATACGCTGAATATTGGGGTTTTTTCCGCTGGGATGGTGGGAGGGGGGTGGGGGTTGGTGGACGAACTAGAATATCTGTTATGTGCGTAGCGTGTGCGTGTTCAGGTGGTTGCATAAAGGTCTGTTTGTGAAACCGATAGGTTGACGGGAGGATGCATAGACAACAATGAGTGTATTTCGCTTGTGAAAGATTTTGAAAAAAAAAAATCGCAACCACAATCCTTATAATATGCAACCACTATATGCACAGGCCTTTTCTTGTGCGTGATTTCTTGTGGTTGGCTTGTTTTACAAGGAATATATTGTAAAAATTAATAGGTTTTTATTTTCGGTGGTGTGTGCATTTGTATGATTTGGCGTTTGCAAATTTTTGGAAAATGAACTTAGTATCATGTCATTTTTTTAGTTTTGTTTTTACACTGGTGTGTGCATTTTTATGTTGGCAATGGAACTTTGAATCATGTGGGCTATTGTACACGTCATGCACACACCAAATACAAAAAACAAAAGCATATGAAGAAATAGGCCTGTGCATATGAAGAAATAGGCCTATGCATTTACATGTCCGCATCTGTGCATATACTGAAGAATGGGTTTTTTTCCACGGTGGGGGTGGGAGGGGGGGGGGGGGGGGTGTGGTTGTTGGACGAAGTAGTAGTCCATTGACACACGTAGCGTGTTCGTGTTCAGGTGGGTGCGTACATGGTTATTTGTTTGACCGATAGGATGGCGCCGTAGACCTGGCAATTATCGACACGACACGAAACCGTACACGAAAAAAACGGGTTAGTGTTTAGCCTTAATGTGTCCCGGGTAGTTAACGGGTTGACCCGTTAAGGACCCGTTCTGTTTCGTGTCTTAACTGGTCAACCCGTTAAACCTATTAAGAACCCGTTTAACCCGTTAATATTATCGTGTTAACCCGTTAACACGAACCCGTTTACCCAACCTGTTTATAACCCGCTAAGAACCATTGTCATGAATGAGATTACAAAAGATATTATGAACATGACTAAGGATGAATTTACTACGTTAGGCCAAGATCTTACACACCAATTATTGATGTTCAACAATTTAAAATTTGAATTTTTATTGTGTTCAATTTTATTCTAAAAACTAGTGTGGACTCCTTTAATTATAATTTTTGGATGTTATTTTATCATTTTATGAACGTTATGAATTGAATATTTTTAAATTTCTTTAATAGATTGAACTTTAGGTTTTTTTTTTTTTTTTTTTTTTTTTTTTTTTTTTTTTTTTTTTTTTTTTTAGAACTTAACTTTAAATTTTAGTTTTTTTAAATATATTAATAGAAATAGCGGGTTTAAACGAGTTTCGTGTCATATCGTGTCGACACGACTTGAAACCTGTTAACGAAACGTGCCTATCGTGTCAACCCGTTTAATCCGTTAACAAATCGTGTTCGTGTTCGTGTTAAGAATTTGAACCCGTTAACCTTAACGTGTCGTGTCCATGTTTAGCCTTATCGTGTTCGTGTCGTTATCGTGTCGACCCGTTAATGGACCCGTATACACGAATTGCCAGGTCTAGATGGTGGGATGATGCGTAGACAGCAAATAGTATGTGCGTAGAATGTTATAATGTTGAATTTATGGTTTGGTCAAATTGTTTTAAAGAACTGGAACAGTGTGGGAGGGTAAGCACGGTGAGTACAACTAATATCACTATATTGATGAAAGTTACAGTGTAAAGTGCGTATGAGGATATAAGCCTGTGCATATCGCCTGTATAGCTCTTAGGGAAAATTGGCATTGTTTATGTACCGAAAGCGTATTACGCACAATCTATATACACACACGCACAGACCGAAAATGCACACTAACACGCGCCAGCTACGCACATACCAATTACCCTAAAAACACCATGGTATTATTTAACTAAATCCTTTCAATGCACTCACACGCCTTTGC